TTTATTTGCAACCTTTGCCTATTTTTTAATTGGGTTGTTTATCTTTTTGTGTTGAGCTATTGAAGTTTTCTATGTATTTTAAAGATGAGACTTTTATCAGATCTTTTGCTCCCAAAGACTCTTTTCTTTTTAGTCTTTTGATAAGCATAAATATTTCATTTTTTATGAGATCCCAGATACCTAATTTGGCTTCTGTCTTCATGGATTTATGTTTACATTTGTTAGTTTATTTTTTTAAAAAGACACCTAGGGCCCATAATTTTGTCTGTGTGTTCTCTCCTAAGAACTTTATCATTCTATATTTACCCTTTAAATCTTTGCTTTGATGTTCACATCCTTTTTATCCTCAGGAAAACTTCATTATGGGAGTGATTGTATGAAACTAAATGCGAATGAAGAATAGTGTGAAACGAGTGTATATTAACCTTATAAGCAAAGCAATATTAAAATTAAGAGAGAGAAAACTTCATTTATTAGCTATAACCTCCCTTCTCTACTCTCTTTGGGCTCAGTTACTCAGAATATCATTTTATTACTCTTCTTCTTGTTAAACTACTACTGAGTTGGCCTCTGGCTCATAGGAATCTGAGATGCAAGAGATCAATTCATTATAATCCATAGGGTTTTCATTGGTTGATTTTCAAAAGAAAGTCACCAAGCCTAGACGTTCCACTGAAACATGTAGACACACATTGTAGAGACACACAGACTTCCACAAAAGGAGAAACAGTAGCTGCATTTGAGGTGCACTGTCTCCAAATCAAACTGGGTCTTTTACACAGGACTGGAGAATTCCATCATCAAACCACCAACGCCCCCACCCACACTTACGTCTACAGCGGTAATAATGACTAGTGATCATGATCATCTTTTTATGGGTTTGTCTGCAGCTTTAATATATTCTTGGGTTAAGTATTTATTTGTGACCTTTGTCCACTTTTTAATTGTGTTGTTTATCTTTTTGTTGTTGAGCTATTGAAGTTTTCTACAAATTTCAGGGATGAGACTCTATCTGATATACTTACATTACCCCAAAATGTTATTCTACACTAACTAGAACTTTCCATCATGTGCTGGATGGCTAAGATTACTTAAGGCGAACCCAGCACTAATTCACTGTAAAATGTCTGGTTGATTAAGAAGGAGAAATATGAGAAAACCATGGGTGAAAATCTCTGGGGGAAAAACACACGGATCTATATAAGACAGTGTGCCTGGAGAATTGAGGATCTTAACATTATATGTTAACCTGCACCCAAATAAAGCAAGCTACTGCAACAAGACACTTGAGACCGAAGTATACAATGTGACGCAACAAGCCTCAGTATTCACCACCCTGGGGCTTGTTCATTCATTTTTATGAGGTTATTAAAACCAAAATAAAAGCCAAAATGACTCCTGCCCATTAGATTCAAGCTCGTGGTGCCCTTCTATCAGATCCCATGGGCTGTACATCTGAACCAGAGCAGACGGCTTCATCTTCCTCCTGAAAATTGTGAGGTTCAAACTCTCAACCTGTTTAGGTTAGCAGTCCAACACTTAACCTATGAAGCCATCAGGGCTTCTTGATGTTCTGGACAGATAATAGTTAAGTCTTGTTTGAAAAAGATAGTGTTCAAAGATATTTAAAAACAAAAAGCATTCCTTGAACCATTCTACTTGCGAGCATTGACAGACTAAGATGTCAGAGAATGTGGATTCTGCCTTCACGTGGCCACGGGAAGGGTGACTTCCGTTCCCATTTCACTCACAACCACGGAAAAGCATCCCTGTCTTTGGCTCGTGGCTATTTTGATACCAGAACAGGCAAGACTGCACCACGTGCTTCCCAAAAAGTCTGATATCAACAAATTCTCCCCATCACCTCGCGCATTGATTCTCCCTACGATTCTGAGTGCATGTAGCTAGTTTGGGTGTAGGAGTGGCTTAGGTCTTCTATGCACTAAAGAGCTTCTAGGGATCGCCCATGGCAGGGTCCACGGAGAGCTACGTTGCTAGACAAAAGGTCACATCACCTTTGCTGGTTCTAATACAAATTCTGCTCTGAGGGAGAAGGATGGGGCCACCTCCTTCTGAGTGGTTTACAGCCTCGAAAATCTGCCAGAGGGTCAGCTATGCATTGGTTCCAACTTGACAGCACTTCCTGACTGACTGAAACAGCACATAACGAGCTCTGATAGTGTGATCTATAGCATGTTTCCCTGTTAACCAAAAGCAGCACAACTCTGGTGGTTTGAATCCACAGGACATTTTCCTCCTGTTTTCATTTACAGCTAGGGAATCCTATGCCGCTGCTGTGAGTCAGAACCAAGTTGATGAGAGTGTGTTTTGTAAAAAACATAGCATGTTGTTGTTCCTGTGTTATTGATTGCCGTCAAGTCAAGCACGACTCATAGCGACCCTATGAACAGAGTCTTGAAGCCTTTCTAGAACTATCGTCATTTCTCAATTTGAGTTTTCTAAGGGATGTTGTTTAGGAAGTGGGTGCTACTCCTGCAATTCCTAAAACTATACTGTTGTTTGTTGTTTTTGTTGTTGTTATTCTTGGTTCTGTGGGCCGTACACTCGGAACTGACTCATAGTTTTCAGAGCCAGTTAATCACTTGGAAGGAGACTGCCCATCCTTCTGGTGGCCTTGAACCTCATGCCTTCAGAACTTCAGTGCAGTTTCTTGCCACTAGGCCTGAAATATCATTCTCTCTCTCCACTGTTATTTGAACAGTAATTGAGATACTAGCTTCTCCAGAAAGCACGATTCTGGCAAATGTAGATAGATCAAACCCCCAAACCAAGCCATCTAGTTAACTCTGACTCACACAGATCCTAATTTCCAAAATCTTTGCAGGAAGAAACTGCCCCTCTTTCTCTAAAAGGTGACTGGTGGATTTGAACCACTATTCTGTTGGTTAGCAGTTCAATACAATCTGTATTAAATCACCTGACCTCCTTAGTTAGATAGCATTTAAACAGCATTTAAAAATTTTACAAGCACTTTGTAACACTGATCCAGACCTTGGTCTTCATAATCACGTGCTTTGCAACCGAGAGCTGTACAATGACTAAGTATGACAGAAGAATAGGAAGAATAATCAATTCATTATGAGCCATAGGCTTTGAGTTGTACTTCTGGAGAAGTGTGTTGAATACACCATGGACTGCTAAAAGAACAAATAGGTTCATCCTGGAGAGGGTGAAACCAGGGTGCTCCTTAGAGGAAAGGATTCTGAAGCTCCATTGGACATATTTTGAACATGTTGCAAGGAGGGACGAGTCCTTGGAGAGGGATGCCATTTTTGGAAGTGTGGAGGGACAGCGCAGGAGAGGAATACCCTGGATGAGATGGATTGACTCAGTGACTGGGGTAAAGGAGATAGTTGTGTCAGAGACAATGAAGTTGACTCAAGATAGATCAGGGTTCAGGGCTGTTGTACATAGGGTTGCTATGAGTTGCAAATGACTTAATGGCACATAACAATAACAACAACAATTCTTGAAGCCCAGGGAAGTTAGCAACTGAATCATAGGTCACATCACCCAGAATGTAGCTGATTGGGCCACTGGAGCTCCTTTTACCCAAAAGGAGTCAAATTTTCCTTTTGCATTTGGAATTACAGACTCTCCGAGGCATCTTGTTTGCCCTCTCTGCTTCAGAACTATCTTCCTGAGAGTGCTGTTGGAGACTTGTGGTGGGGTGGGACTTGTCACCAGAGTGAACCAGATAGATCCGGTGGCTCCTCTGGGAGGCATTCTCCCCATGTCCAGGCATTCAGGGCCTCATGGTGGTGACAGAACACTGTCCAGCTGCATGCAGGCCCCAGTGCAGCCTCTGCCAGGATCCTCTCTCTCAGGCCCCTGATGGAACATTGTGAGTCTCTATAAGCCAACCAGTGCTAACAGCCTTCCATTTTCTCCCTCCCCTACTTATTACAGCTTTTCAGAAAGTTGATGAGGTGAAATATTCTCCAGCAGAGGAAATAATGCCAAGCTTGAAAGTAACTTCTGATGGACTGGGGAAATAATTCCATTGCTTTTCTTTGAGTGGAAAAATAAAAAAAAAATAAATAAAAATTTTAAAAAGGCAACCTGAGGCAGCTGTTGGGGATTTCGTTATTGGGAGATTGGAGGAAAACACAAAGCCTTCAGATGAACACAGTATTCTTTTAGCATTTTAGAACTCTGTGGGATGAAAGGATGAGGAAGACAGGTGCTAGACAATAGAATGAACCTGGCACTAGCTTATTTGCATAATTTTGTATAGGAATGCATTGATGTATAAAGTACAAAGCGACTGTGTGGAACAGTGAAAATAAAGTGTTTTGGAAAACAAATCTATGTGCACTACTCAACTCTTAAAAAAAAAAAAGGCAATAAAACCCCCAAACTGAACATTTTATGAAATACTTGTTGCTTCTTCGTGAAAATTGCTGTTGGTTTAAGAGGTGTGTAGAATTTTGAGGAAACACAGTCTCTTACTCTATTGTTTAAGGTAATTCTTAGGAAAGTTTGTTCTAAACAGAGGCGATGTCTGGTGATGGGTGGACGAGGCAGTGCACACACTGCTTGCTGATGTGTCATAGGTCAGTCTCCATTTCCTCAAGGCTTCAAGGTGACCCCCCCAAGTGTCTGAGGAAGCACTGGTGGCTTAGGAGTAAGGAGTTGCACTACCAAGCCAAAGGCAAATGGTTCAAGTCCCCCAGTTGCTCTGAGGGAGAAAGATAGGCAATGTCAATCTCCAATTTATAACCTCTGAAAACCCGCTGGAGGGTCAGCTATGAGTGGTTCTGACTCGTCGGCCCATAACAACGACAAAGAAGGGTGTGGAGAAAGATTCTAAACAGCCGTTTGAGCATTTTCTTTTCAGTCAGCGCCTAAATAAAGAAGTAAGAAATCTAAAAGGAGCATGTGCACTTCACTAAACGCAGCGGTTTGTAGTGTGTGAGAAACTCACCGTGTTAAATCCTAACCACTGTCTGGCAAGTCTTCCTTAACAGGCCTCGCAGATACCTGAAACCAATTTTAACTCACTCTGGCCCTCCGCTGACCACAACATTACCGGAATGGTGCAGTCCCATCTCCAAGCTCCTCACCAGTCCACAGGCCTATGGGGTGAGTCAGCGTCCGACACGGAGGACAACTGGGCAGATATTGATGTGCCAGGAACCTCCGATTACTACTCCCCAACGTCAGGAGTGACATTCAAAAAGACTGTGTTGCAACAGGAAGCGTTTTTCTCCTCTGTTCAGGTGTATCTGATGTAGGCTTACTCTTCTTTCACAAATGTAATTTTTGTTTTATTATTACCAATACTTTTAGCATAAAATAAACTTTCAGAACTGTAAAAGAAATCACTTGTCCTCACAAACTGCTGTGGGTTGAGGTTGCGAGGAATATTAGGGCAGTGCTTGATAGCTCAAGGAAGTTGAATTAAAAGGAAGCTGTTAGAATCATTATCAGCAAATCACTATGCCTTTTCTTGCAGAGTAGTTGAGTGGATTTGAACTGCCAGCTTTTTGGTTAGCTGAGGCCTTAAGTATACTATTACCAGAACCCCTCAGAGAACTTTCTGGACTACACTGTGTGTCACATCTTTAATGCCGACTTGGTGACGTGACCACAAGCTCCCAGGTGGTTTCTGTCTGAGGTGGAAAACCATGGCCAAGTCAAGACTGAGAGAAAGTGAACTCACATGCTGTTTTCTCATGTTCTAGGCTTGCTATTGCTTTGTGCTTCAATCAGGAAATGATTTCTCTCCTTCTCCCTTTCCAAAACGCAGGAGCATCTAAAAGAGGATGATTTGGAGTGCATTGTCAACCAGGACGAACTCGCCATGAGTGACCAAGAGCAGGCCTCTTCACCCTGCAGTCCTCCTGCCAGGGCAAGTCTGGACCCGAACACCTCACTGCAGAAATCCAGCAAGGAAAACATTTATGAGGGGGACCTCGGCCTGGGAGGCTATGGACTCAAGCTGGAACAAACTCCGGGCCAGGAGCAGCGAAATTAACTGGCCCGAGAAAGCAGTGCAAATATAATCATGTGTAATGCTAGGCTGACCAAAGAAAGCAGGCCGCACTGATGAGGCAGAGTGGGGCAAGGCCACAGAGAGTTCCAAAAACCTGGCTTGGAGAGAACCCAAACCTTGTTATCCATATCCTCCACTGTGCCTGAAGAAATGAGAATTTATGATCAGCACTCTCTATCATTCAACTTCTGACAGCAGTCATCTTTATTGATTAATTGGGTGGGACAGAGAGGGGAGGGGCCACAGTGCAGCTACTGTGAAGATGACACAGATGTGGTCGTGTCTGCAGGGTGTGACTTCTCTGTGCCCAGCTGCCCGTGTGCCTGTCATTTAGATTATTCATGTTATCTCCTAAGTTAACTAAAAACTGCTGCTGTCGAGTCATTTCTAATAGCATCCCCATACAATGGAGTAGAATCGGCCTCCGCACTATAATCTTTATGGAAGTAGCCTGCCACATCTTCCTCTCATGCAGAGTCCAGCATGCTTAACCAATGCATAACCAATACTCCTCCTTCCCTTCCCGAGAGACGATTTAAAAAATAAGAAAAAGGGCCTCTGAGAGTGAAATGTTCATCCAAAGCTTAAAGGGGTGTCCAGGGTTTTTGAAGTGATAGGTTTTCTATTTTTCAGATGTATATGCTGTGCTTCCTCACTTGTTCTAAATGACCCCAGGAATATTTGCAGAGCCAGATCAAAGCTCGATACCAACTCTTGATACATAACAAGACCAGTGTGACATCAGGAGAACCACTGTTTGTTGGCCCCCTTGCAGGCTGCTGTTCCCTCTTCTCACCACCGCTCAGTGATGTTGATTACAGCGGGCGTGTACAGCACTACTCACAGTGCCACCTGCCAGCTGGTGGGAGCCCTTCCAGGAAGAGCAGGCCTCTCTTCTCCCTGTCATGTTACACCCTTGCCTGCACTTGAGTCCTTTCTTGGCTCGGTGGTGTGGCCACCCTGCGTCCCGGATGTGGGTTGCTGAAGCACACATTGCAGGAGGCTGTGCCGGAGCGCCCCACACTCACCCTCTGTGCCCCCTGCGATTCCAGCGCCCACAGCTGGTGAACGTGCAAAGGTGAGGCACAGGGAGTGGATCCACGGTGTGGAGGCCACTTTGAGGGGTTAGGCTGGGGCTTCAGGACCCCTTTCTAAAGTGGAACCGACTTCTGCACATGAGAAACCAACCAACAGCTGCATGACCTGTGCCTTTTAAGCCACAAAGTTACCTCAAACCTGGCAGTTCTTGAAATGCAGATCTTATATTAGACTCCAGCAAGCCAGCTCTGGTCTCAGGGGTCGAGACTATGCAGGGTAAAGTCTGCTTTTGTGGGAGGGTGGGAATGACATCCCCCGAAGCCTGAAGCTCTGCTGGCCGTTTGCTTGCCTTAAACAGTAACCACTGTGCTATAGCCACAAGTAACACTCTGTACATTCATTTTCTTGCTTTTCAAACTGTAGACACTAGGGACAAAATAGATGTTTTAAATCCAGCTATGTGGAATCTGGTTATTCCAGGTTTTAAAAAAAAAAAAAAAGGGAAAAAAGTGAAGCATGAAGCGTTCTTATTTGACTTAATGCTAATAAAATTTTCTTAAAAAGTACAGTCGTGTAGGTCATTTCTTTAACTTTAATGTTGTCTCTGTTGTTGGCAGTTCAGAGATTTACTCAAAGTGCTGGGTGAAGCAGGCACCGAAGCATATGCAGGAAGATGCTTGAATCCCATTGCCCAGGATCAAACACAGGCTGGCAGACCAGGTCAGTGAAGTGAAGAAGAGAGCAGTTCGGGGCTGGAAGGGGGCACAGGAGAACCCAAGAGCCCTTTCACGCTGCAGATGACCAGTAACCACCAAAGAGCTTCAAACGCCGGAGAAGAAATGCGGTTGGAAAAAGGAAGGAAAGGCTGACAGAATGGATCTGCCCCTCGAAAGTGGGAGAAGGAGAAACAACTCGGATATTTTCTTTCTTTCTTTTTTATATGGAGTGTGAAACACCAGGGAAAGAAAGAGGATTCTCTAAAAGTCAAGCATTAAGAGGGCCAGGAGTGGTGCCAAAGCAGAGAATAACGCCATGCTGAATGAAAATGGAATTAAATTGCAGGGAAATTTGCACAGCATAAAGCCTGCACCAACTGGCTGAGTTGTTGTTGTTGGGTGCCATTGAGCCACTAAAATGGGATAGTAACAATGCCTTCAGACCACCTCACTAGCAAAACCTCTTCTTGGTGAGAAGAGTGGGTGTGTGTGTGCAGAAACCTCTCTCTGAGCAGCCATCATAGCCATTGCTACCCAAACCACGAAGGTGGACTGCTTGCTAAGACAGTCTGGTCAATTGACACCAAGTAAGTAGGATATTGAGACATGGAGGCAGCTCCTCTCTGTCCAGTGTGTCAGAGCGTGCCAGTGCTAAGATATGATGGCCAGACTCCTTCCCTCTCAGCTAAGCCCAGACCCAGATAGGCTAATGGCTCAGTGAGCAATTCATCAAGCCAAATTCTTTTTATGCTTCCCCTTTGTGATGAATAATAATTTCCTTTCTTTTAAAAAAAAATGCCCTCTGCTTTGATTAGCAGCAACAGGACTGTGAAATGCAAGCCTACTGTATGCTATTTATATAGGGAGCTCAGGTGGCTTACTGGTATGGAATTGTACTGCCAGTTAGATGGTATGTGGTTCAAGTCCACCAGCTGCTCCATGGGAGAAAGATGAGCTATCTCCTCTCGTTAGATTTACTACCTCAAAAACACACCATATGGTCAGCTACTGGTCCATTCCAACTCAATAATACACAACAACAACAAATTTACTGCCAGTTTCTAACGACTAATAAAGACAAAAAAGTATTTGTTTGGGGATTCTCCCCAAAACTACTAATGTTTACACTTATATTAGAGGTTTAAACAGGAGTCTAATCAATTAATTGAATTAGGATACTTCCTTGAACTTCTTGCTGTGTGTACAGCCCTATCCCCTCCCTCCCTCCTTCTCGCTCCCTTGCACTCTCTCTCTTTCATACACACACACACACACACACACACACACACACACATTTCCAATTCCTATCAATGTCCTAGAAAATATAAGTAAAATAGTATAGACCTTATCTTTCAACTCTTTCTCACATAAGAAAGGCCATATAAAACATGGTCAATTTTGAGAGTGTTCCTGGTCTCCAAATGGTGGACAGGGAAGAAAACACAGTCAAGAAAGCCTTCTAAAAAGAGGTTACATTTGATTGAGAGCTTAAAAGTTGAGTGCTCGCTTCGGCAGCACATACACTAAAATTGGAACGATACAGAGAAGATTAGCATGGCCCCTGCGCAAGGATGACATGCAAATTCGTGAAGCGTTCCATATTTTTCCTGGATCTGACTTACCTACAAAAGACTGCTCTCACAGGCTCTGAACTGACCTTTTCCTTGAGTTAGAAATTCAGAGAAATTGTCTTCAGATCAAGTTTAAAT